CTCTTTGTCTCCCTCCCTCCCACCCTCCCTATCCCACCCCTCCAGACAGCCACAAAGAACCGAGCCGGTTTCCCTGTGCCATGCGGCTGCTTCCCACTGGCTATCTACCTTACGTTTGTTAGTATATATATGTCCATGTCTCTCTCTCGCCCTAACACACCTCACCCTTCCCCCTCCCCATATCCTCAAGTCTGTTCTCCAGTAGGTCTCTGTCTTTATTCCTGTTTTACCCCTAGGTTCTTCATAACATTTTTTTTTCTTAAATTCCATATATATGTGTTAGCATACGGTATTTGTCCTTCTCTTTCTGACTTACTTCACTCCGTATGACAGACTCTAGATCTATCCACCTCATTACAAATAGCTCAATTTCGTTTCTTTTTATGGCTGAGTAATATTCCATTGTATATATGTGCCACATCTTCTTTATCCATTCATCCGACGGCGGGCACTTAGGTTGTTTCCATCTCCGGGCTATTGTAAATAGAGCTGCAATGAACATTTTGGTACATGACTCTTTCTGAATTCTGGTTTCCTCAGGGTATATACCTAGTAGTGGGATTGCTGGGTCATATGGTAGTTCTATTTGTGTAATAAACTCAAACAGCATAACATTTATAAAGTAAGAGTGAACTTTTCCCCCTCTCCCTAACCCTCCCTCTTCCCTATGATCCAGAGAACTATCTCCTTACTGTTTAGTATATGTTCTTCTAGATATTTCTTTATGTTTATGTAAGTATATATACAAATCTCTTTATAAGTTTAATTATATATATTTTAAGTGACAAATGATATACTAAATATTATGAGTATTGTTCTTCCTTTGTTCTCTCAGTAACAGAAGTAGGCTTCCCTTCCAAGTCAATAGTAAGGATCTGCTCATTTTTTAAATAACTGTCAAGTATTCTAGCTTATGGCCCTACTATAACTTATACATGTGATTTCCTACTGATGAACATTTAGAGTATTTTAAATTATTATTTCAAATAAATCTGTAGTGAATACCCTTGTACCTATATCTCGAATGACTTTCATTATCAGGAAGACATTACTATTTTATATGGGGGAAACAAAAATAACAAATCTCCAAATCAGAATAGTACTAAAAGAGGATATGGGTAAAAGACTAATCTGGGCTAAGAATATTAGAATTCCCAGCCCTAGCGGGGAATTGGATCAAATGCGAATTAAATGTACGTGTTATAGTTGGTCATATGTAAGAGAAATCAGACTCCAGCGGCTAAACCAAATAGGGATTTAATTTTAACCCTGTAAGCAGCAGCCCGGAGGGCTGAAACAGCAGCTTTAAGTGGTCGTTAGGGACCCAGGTTCTCTTTTCTTGCGTTATGCGGGCCTCTCACTGTTGTGGCCTCTCCCATTTGCGGAGCACAGGCTCCGGACGCGCAGGCTCAGTGGCCATGGCTCACGGGCCCAGCCGCTCCGCGGCATGTGGGATCCTCCCGAAACGGGGCACGAACCCGCGTCTCCTGCATCGGCAGGCGGACTCTCAAGCACTGCGCCACCAGGGAAGCCCAGGACCCAGGTTCTTTTAGCCGTCTGCTTTGCCATCTTTCGTGTGGCTTTGGGCTTCTTGGTCACAGGATGGCAGCTCTGCTTCTAAGCATGTCTTCTATACTCCAGGCAGGGAGAAGGGGATGGGTGAAGGATTTGGTAAAAGATGTGTGCCACTAGAATCTATTCTCCCCCCACTTTTTTTTTTTTTTGGCTATGCCACGTGGCACATGGGATCCGCGTTCCCCAAGAAGGGATCAAAGCCATGCCCCCTGCAGTGGAAGTGTGGAGTCTTAACCACTGGGCCGCCAGGGAAGCCCTCCTTCCTTTTTTTTTTTTTGTTTTTGTTTTTGCGGTACGCGGGCCTCTCACTGTTGTGGCCTCTCCCTTTGCGGAGCACAGGCTCAGGATGCACAGGCTCAGCGGCCATGGATCACGGGCCCGGCTGCTCTGCGGCACGTGGGATCTTCCCGGACTGGGGCACGAACCCGCGTCCCCTGCATCGGCAGGCGGACTCTCAACCACTGCGCCACCAGGGAAGCCCTCCCCTTTTTTTAAAAATTAGGGAAACAGTTTTCATGGAAGCCAAACCAATAGACTTTTGTCTCCATCTTGTTGAGTCACGTAAACCTCCCTAGTTACAAGGGAATCTGGGGTGGCAAGAATCTAACTGAGCATATTACTGTCCTCCCGCAAAGTGGGGTTCTGTTAATAAGGAAGAAGGGAAGAACAGATGTTGCATAGGTAACCAGTAATGTCAGTCATGCCTAAATTAAATTATATGTGCTGAACACAGGACAAAATGGAGAAATAAATTGCACAGGTGATTCTGTCTGCCATTCCTCTCAATGAGCATGCGCCCTAGTGTTTGCATGAGGATGGGAGACTGTGTTGCCTCAGTTGACATCAGCTCCTACCTACCTCTTGTGTGAGCATCCAACTGGGCTCAATGACAACCTGGTTATTAACAACATGCATTTTTTTTCATACAAGGTGGCCCCGAAAGCCAGCCCAGCCACTTTATCTGGTCCTTCACCCAAGAAATAGCTGTCTTTTCTCCAACACCAGAGGGAAAAATAACCTAGTGCATTAGACTATCAGGAGATGGCATGTGTGTCTTGAAAGCAGCACATGTTCAAGAGAATTTTGAGAGCGATTTTGACCGCGGGCAGTTTCCCCCATTGCACTGACTGACCTTAGCTTCCAGTGGCCGGGTAAGATGCAACTTCAGTGAATATCTGAGTTAGGGATGGAGCGGATGAAAAGGAGTGACATTCATTTTGGCGTGCTGAGTTCTAGAGACCAGGAAGGGGCTAGTTCAGGCTCCACTAACTACTGTTCTCCTGTTCCTTTTCCACCAGCCTGAGCCACGGGAAGGAGATAAATCTACCTCAGGCCACAGCAGCGGTACCTTAATGCTCTGTGCTCATTCACTCCAAACGGAATTCCTGAGACCAGTCAAGTTGGAATAGTCTGTAATATGTTGGTAGTTTGTCCATTTGTTTACAAAGGTTAACCTTTTGTATTAAAATTTCATCAGAAAATAGGAAATTTAGGATGTTTAGCAACTTGGAGTGATTTGCTTTTTTTTTTTTTTAATGATTTTTTAAATTAAAATTGATTTTTGAGAAGCATCTTCAAGTTATTTGGGGGCGGGGAAACCTCAGCATCTGTATATATACTACTTAGTATACCTCTTTAAGGGAGGGTTTCCTTTTATTTTCATAGCTCAGATGAAAATGGTGTTGTATTTTGAAATAGTTACTCTTTCATTTGATCTGCACGTATTCTAGTTTCTGTAGAACTTTAACAAAACTACCAGCTTTAGCAGAGGAGAAATATTCATCTTTCAGTAATTACTAAATGCTCTAATAAAGTCTGGTGCATGAAGTTGTATATACAGTTGAGTGAATTTATTTTAGGAACATGAAACCTACATAAGTTCAGGCCATCTACAAAGTAACTTTGCTCAAGATTGGATAAGTACAGTTAAAGACTAGACTGAAAACTAGCTTATACATTATATAATTAAGTTACATAATATAGCTTATTTATAGTTTAATTAGCCTAAAACCATCTTTACAACCCCAATTTGTCATCATTTTTCTTGAAAATTTTTTAATGAGCTATGTTATAGTATATTGTTGTAAGCTTTATAGAGTATAAAAGTGTTTAATTAACTTCGTTTTTAGACGTGATTAACATTTAACTCAGAGGACTTTGAGTAAAGCAGATTACCCTCCATAAAGTGGGTGGGCCTCGTTCAGTCAGCTGAAGGCCTTAAGAGCAAAGACTGAGGTTGCTGGAAGAAGTCTCTGTTTCAAGATTGCAGCATAGAAATTCTGCCTGAGTTTCCAGTCTATTGGCCAGCCCTGCAGATTTCACACGTGCCAACTCCCACAATTTTGGGAGCCAACTGCTGAAAAGTATCTCTCCCCCATCTGTAAGTTATTTATACATATATTTTGTAAGTCAGGATATCTATATGTATATCCTATTGGTTCTGTTTCTCTGGAGAATCCTGACTAATACAGGGTGTCTCAAAACCAGTGTAGTTGAGACCTCTCCAAGGAGCCTAAGGAATGAAGTGTGTGTGTATGTGTGTGTGTGTCAGAAAGGTGGGCAGGGGGTCGGAGTGGTTAGAATATATGGACAGTAAGTGTCAGTTCGGAATTTTGGTGCTAGAAAACTAGTATGTTAAGTAAAGCAATAAATCTCCAACATGAAAAAAACTCAGCTTTGCCTTTGGTCAAGGAAAGCTGGAAAAACTTGTTGCCACATGGATTAGGATCTATCGAGCAGAGGCCCCGCCTGTACCTGGTCAGGCTCTTATGTTTCTGGTCATTTAACCATTTGATTCTCCCATTTATGATGTGGTCATTATTACTGACCTGATAACAGAGAAACAAATGCCGTCTGCGTTCCAGAGCACTGGTCACTACTGGCTGAAACTCCTCTTACCGGGAATTCAGGTAAGCTAGGGGCGTGCCTTTCGGTTTTTCCATTGGGTCACTGGATTTCTTTCTTTATGTGGCACAGGCATTTTTAATTGTTTATAACAGGACATGGTGGCTGTGTAATGTGTCGGCTAGGCTGACCTGAATTTCCCAGAATCCCTGCTCCTGTACTTTTCTGGTGAGAGTGGACTACAGAGAGAGTCCAGTGGGAGGCTTGCAGGGCAGAGTAGCGGGTTTGCCATTTTGTGTGCACATGCCCTGTGGCCTGTCTGCTGACTCCCCTCAGTGCCCTGAGGCAGATGCTGGGCCTGCAGCTACTCTGCCTTCCCCTGATCCTCTGTCAGCTCCTCCTCTGGGCCAGGTGTGTGCATAGCTCTGTGACACAGGCCCTGGCTTTTGCAGGTCACCCTCATCCCCAAGGTCAGAGGCAGCTGGGCTGGCAGTCTGTCCTCGGGAGCTCCAGCTCTGGGCTTGCTCTCGGGTCTTCCCCACTCCATATCTATCCCCTCTTCTTGACTGTCTGCCGTGTAGACTTCAAGCTCCAACATCGGACCTGACGACAACAGCCTTGCAGAGGCTGCTTAATCACTCGCACAGCTGTGTAAGGTCAAGTTCTGTAGGGATATATGTGGGTATCACCTAGTGGTTCTGCTTCTCAGCTTGGACACTAATAGTGCAATCGTTTGTCTTTTTCGGTTGTCAAAAGAAGAAAAAAACTTCAAATAGGCTTCAAAAGTGTGATTATTCTCACTTGGTGATGGTGTCTCAGTTGTCTTGGTCATTTTTCTCGAGCCAGGAGTAGTAGCACGGTGTTGTGAGCTGAATCAGGAATAAACAAACAGTGGCCTCAGCATTCATCTTTGGTTCCCCACGTGAATGAGGGGAGACTGAATCCTGACATGTTTAACAGCATAAACAGCATATTCTTACCATTTTGTGATAACCCCCGTTTTCCCTCTAGGGTGTGCCCACTGGACAAGAGCTCTTTGAGCAGAGACCTTGTCTGATCTCTTCACCATTTTATTCCAAACCCTAGTGCGATGCCTGGCATGTGGGGGGCACTGGAGGAAGTGCCTCAGCATTGCGGAGGGGATCGTGACTCCCATTAGAGTCCTGGGTGTTTAACCTCTGGAGTTTCCTTGGACAAAGTTTCCTCCTTGTCTGTCTGGAGAATTCCTCACCCATCAAGACAGCTCAGGCACTGTCTCCTTTGGGAAAGTTTTCGAGGTAAGCTGTTTTCAGTACTTCTGTTATTTTATAATTAAACGTTTCTCCATCTACGTTACCAGACTGTGAACTCTAAGGGCACATATTTCATCTGGGTCACTTCCCGAGTGTATCCCGAGTGTAATATACAGCACTGGGAAGGTAAGAGTTGATGAGCTTTGCAATTGAACATTACTATTTCTAGTAGAGTCTATCAAAGCCCATAGGATTAAACTAGCCTTAAAAAAAAAAAAGGCTGGTTCTACATGGACTGTCTTTGGTAGACGGCTTAAATCTTTCAGAGAAATTTGCCACTTGCAATATTTATCATTGGGGTCACAGTCAACAGGAAAGTTCATTTCCCTCGAAGTACATGACATCAGTCCAGGCAAAACTGTGCAGAATTTTTTTCAGTGCTCAGATCTCACGAATTGAGGTGCCTCCCGGGGTCAGCTAGGTTCACAGGCCAAGTGTAAAAGGCTGCGTGGTGGTAACCATCTCAAGGGAACAGACTGGTGCATGCAAATGCCATGGTCCATGCCGGAGCTTGGAGAGCGCCCACAATGGCTGTGCTGAGTCTCACGCCAGCTGGGCTGCCACAGGGGATTTGGCCTCAGACGGCATCATAATGGGCTCCCAGTGGGTTGCCCGTAAGAGCCATACTGACTGCATTTACAGAGCGCTCAATGAGGGTATGACTTTCAGATTTACGTGTCCTCTTAGTGTCATCCCAGTGTTCCCTCAACGCAGCTTCTCAAGACAGAAAAATGACCTACAAATCAGTAGCTTTTTTTTTTAATCCCCCATGACTGAAAGTCACGTGTTACTTACTGAAGGTCAAGGGATATTTTAGGTGGAGTGTAGTTTAGGTGTCATAAGAGTGATTATTTCTTTACCTGCCCTGGAGTAGAACTCTTCTTTAATGTGAATGTAATTTGATTCTGAAGAAAATCTAAATAATGAATTTAAGTAGTAATAATAAATTTAGTAATAAAAACACACTGAACTTTCCCTTATTTGGAGACACTAAAATTTACTTAGGTGAACGTTTATCATGTATAAGCAGCTGCTAGTTTGCAACGACAGTTACTGTGCTTTAATTAATTGGTTCCACCCGTTGTTTAAAATAATGAAATCCCAGCAGATTAAGGGGAGGCTCTTTAGCCCCATGCAGAGAGGGCTCCACGCCCTTAAGTCTCTGCCAGGCTTCACCAAGGTCAAGCCTCAGCTCACATGCCTCTACTCCTGAGCTGCGGTGGCCTCCCGTCTGCCCGTCTCTGTGACGGGAGAGGCCAGAGCTGCAGAGCATGGCACCATGTTGTTTGTGCCTAATCTTCTCTCTCCAGCCAATCCAGTATTCCTGCCCGGGTTACCCTGTAAAGCGGTTTTTGTGGTAACCCTTATATCCTCTGCTTAGCTAATTGGTCTTAACTTTTCCTTATGAATGACCATTTTCTGAAATAGTTTAACTTGGTATATGAATACTACGTAAAGGTAACAATGTTACATAAAAGCCCACTGCTGACTGAAATGAATTTAAACATCTAAAATTAACTGCTAAAATGTCACTTTAAAAAAATTCCTGAGTAATAGGTCACTTGGAACAGCAAGTTCTTTGAACCAAACAAAAAGAATCACAACATGCTTTAGTGTACAAATCAATTTATTATACAACAATTATACAGAATGCTTTTTATCTACAAAGAAAAATGGCTTCTCTTGCCTCCCCGGCTGCCCCAATCACGATACGTTCTTAACATACAAGTATTTTCAAAGGAAAACCAAAAAAGTGATATCCTTATTTTCCAAATAAGGAAGTACCCAGAAACATAAAATGATATGGAAACACTGGAAAGGACTAGACTGGTCTCTTACACAGCTAGTTCTCCATCACAGGAAACAGCATTTTGCCTTAAAAATACTTCTCTAATGGGGAGGACGTACCCCCTGCACAGTGTGCCTAAATAGTTCAGTATATAATTTCAATGGGTTGAAATTTCTATATTTAACTCCATTCAATAACATTCCATTTTGTTACTTAAAAAAATTGGAATTAGCAACATATATGCCTACAGTATTCATTTAAATGTTTTCATACCTATGAGTAAGAGGAAATTTATTTGGGGAAAAAACATTTCTTTTTTTGACAAATTATACAGATTTTTTTTAAAGCTGTGCTTTAGGTAAATCACATTAAAAGTAAACGTTTAAAATTGTAACACTTAGAAACAGGTGAAGACATTTACCTGACTCAGTTTTTGTGACTAAGACTTTATATAGCTCTGTATTTTTTTTTTTTTTTACCAGCCCTTGAATGGTTTAAGGCAATAAGTGTTTCATTAAGCTTCTCTAGAATTAAAGACCAAGTTGGAAATAAGCATCCTGAAACCTCTAGCCAAATTTGAGCTTGAAAGTGTAAACTAACCAAGTTTTTTCCTTTGATCAGAGAGGCTTCCAGCTGCCTGGGCTTTCTCCTTCAGCTGAAGGATGCTTCCCTCCCTGTTGTGCAGATATGAAGCCCAGCAAAGCATCCAGAACTGCAGGTATGAGGCCAAGTGGTGAGCCCAGGGCCTCACTGACGATTAAAAATAAGCTGGAGCCAGTGACTGACCAGTGATGTCTGTCTTCTGAGTCTCATTTTTACCTGCGGTGAGTGCACTTTGGTAACAGATTTTAGCTCATGTCTGAGACGTAAAACTGAACTACAGCCCAGCTGCTCCAGGGTGCTTCGTCCTCAGCCTGTCGCGGGTTTTGTCACAGAGGAGTGCTGAGCCATGCTTGAAGCGAGCCCTCGTTTTAAAGTGAGTTTCTGGGAGAGAACGAGACGTATAACCGTGCAGGTATGATGTGATGGAAGCGGAGATTAAGCACCCTAAAGCAAGTCAGTTTTTGTTTTTTTTTGTTTTTTTTTTCCTTGCGTTATGCGGGCCTCTCACTGTTGTGGCCTCTCCCATTTGCGGAGCACAGGCTCCGGACGCGCAGGCTCAGTGGCCATGGCTCACGGGCCCAGCCGCTCCGCGGCATGTGGGATCCTCCCGAAACGGGGCACGAACCCGCGTCTCCTGCATCGGCAGGCGGACTCTCAAGCACTGCGCCACCAGGGAAGCCCAGCAAGTCAGTTTTAAAAAGCTATTTAGAAAGATCCAAGAGTAAGGGGGCATCAGACAGAAGATGTCTGTTCGTTAGAAATGGGTCAACTGGCAGAGAAGGGGCTACAGGGCACGATGCCCTCACCGTGAAGACTGGACTAAGGTCAGTCACCTTTCAGTGCAGCAGAATCCCAAGGGGCTTTTACAGGAAACAGAAGAGTTGGTTTCCTCAGCGTATGTGTCAGTACCGAAGTGTGTTTGTTTTCCTGTAGTTAACAAAACATTTTTTTCCAAATACTCATAAAAAAAAGAAATGCCCCCAAAAGGACAAAGTCATTCCCAAACAGACTGTAATGTGTTGGGGCAATGGTGAAAATGCCTTTCTGGCACTTAAGCCTCTGATATCCATGTTATGACCTAAAAACTTCTTAAAATAAGGTAGGAAAGAAGATAAAGCATCAAAGTTGGCAAATCTTGTTTTATAGGGTATAAAAATTTTACAGTATATCAATCTTCATCAGATCTTCAGAAAATATCCTCAGTTTCCATTCTTGGGACAATTTATAATAGTAAATAATAGCCCCACCGCTGGGAGAAGGTCCTGCTAACCTTCCTCTGCTCCCGTGCTTCTCAGTGGAGCTCGTGTTACTTGGAGCAGGGAAAGGAAGCGCCGAGTTTGCCAAACTGGTGCTTTTCGTTGTGGCTCGTTCCCAGCACCTTCCCATAGCCCTCTTTTCCTATTTTCAATAATGTAACCTGCAAAGAGTGACAGCAAGTATTTGGGGGATAATACTCACAAGGAGGCTCATAAGAAATCGTCGGCAAGTTCAATGTCTATTTTGCCCCCAATGCTCTATTAATTCTGACTTATTAATAGTCCAGTGACATATCATTCTAAGAAAAAGGGCCCACTGGACTCGAGTCCTTGTCAGAAAGGAAATGGGCAAAGTCAGTTCCTGCTTTTAAAACTGAGCATTGCATCTGTATCCTAACCTGGGGCACCTTGACATCGGAGGTAGATGTGAATATATGAATAATGAAGGAAACCCAATTAAAGCTGAGGAACGACTCCTACCCAAGCCCGAGCTGTGAAGGTTTTGGTAGAAGATTTTTCTTCAAAGTAAAAAAAAAAAAAAAAAATACGAACTTTGTTACCACGTCACTAGAGAATTAGGAGTAGCTGTGGGAATTTGACACTCCAGAGACCGACGAGAGAGAAAAGTTTTGCTGGGCTTTCCATTTATGTGACCATTTGAATATTTTCTGGGGTTGATTCATAAAGGAACAAATGGACTGATTACTTTATGTACTGAGAGTCATTGCTGAAGATAGATTAGAGCATACCCTGTATTTAGAAGACAATTAACATTTTGCTTTAAACGTTTTAAATCTGAACAAAACTCTAACTTCTTATTTGCAGACTTGCTGTGAGAAACAGTGCTCCCTGTGTCCTGGCTTTGTAGGTGCAGAAGGCTTTATCAAGAGAGTGTCTGGTGAGGGGTTAGGTCGGTGCGGGAAGGAGAGAAGTCGCACCAGTTCTGAGGTCTGCAGAGTTGTCACCTCATTGCCGATGGAAGCATGTCAACAGATTAACCTATTAGCAATATATTAATACATTCCCGGTACAAATGATTTATAAACTCAAAAGAAATTAGTTTATGCTAAAACATATATAACTTTCAATTCAGTCGTTGCTTTAAAACAAGCGAATCTGTTAGGCTAGTATATATGCTTTGTCTTA